CCCGCACCAGCTAGGCTGGATATCCATGGCTGCTCGTACACACACACACACACACATGCTGTATGTGCGTGTGTGCGCGTGCACGCATGTGGGCGTGCGTGCGTGTGTGTGCGTGTGTGTGTGTGTGTGTGTGTGTGTGTGTGTGTGTGTGTGTGTCTGTGTGTGTGTGTGAGCGTGGGTGTGCGTGCGCGTTCGTGTCTTCCAGCTTCAGGATGAACTTGGCCAGCTTCATTTTCTCGTCTACATACATGCACATGTTTTATAACTGGGTTTATACTCTTGCCAGTCTGCGCATCTACACTGGGTAGAGCTACATCAACACCTGCTGGATTTTCACGTCCAATGCAATCAATCTCAACAGGGCCTTAACCCCTACTCATTTTTGTATCCCCACAGTTTCCTTTATATAGCTTGCACCAAACAGCACCTCTTCTTGAGAATGAACATCTACATACCGTGTAAAACACGGCCGTGTCTCAGAGATAACCCACCCGATCGCCACCCCACGTTGCACTTTACAAGAACCACACACCCATCTAGTTGTTAGCCAGATAATTGTACCAATCGCCCTCTTCTGTCCCACGTTATGACATAACCGGGAAATTTTGTTGATTGTTTTTTTTTGGTGCATCACACGTTAAGCGACTTGTGCCTCCTCTTTCCGTGATTTTCTAAATCAGTAAAAGCATTCGCAAATTACGCATAGTACGCATAGGCTTTCGCTACTAAAACATAAATCTTCGTAGAAATTTCACAACTGTCAGGCAGTTTATCGTCACAGTAGTTGGTGGCGAAAAACCGTTGGACCGTATATGTAATAAATCCGTGTATTCACAGATAGATTTTCTTTACAAGCAACTCTCGTGGTTTTCCTCGCGCAGACGCCACCGACACTCACCATGTACTGCTAGTAGTTAATGGGTTCCAGATCGAAAGGAGCTATTTCGCGGTTTACAAGTTGTGTGGAAATTGAGGCTCTTGCGATGGGATCAAAAGTATATAAGATCGAGAGCGAATAATACATACATGTATTATTAGTTCTTGAGAAAATACCAATCTGCCTATTACGCACTTCTGATCAGAGGAATGTTGTGTCTGTGACGTTAATTGTTATTGTACAGAGTAGTAGCTATAGGTGCACACGCTTTTCCCGCAGCGATACTGTTGAGGAATTCCGCATACACACGTGGTATGCGTTTGCCTGCGGTTAACCCAGTTTCGGTAAATGGCAAGCCGCCTTTCTTGAGAAATCCGAGTCGGATTAGCTCAATCTCACGGGAGTTGTTTTAAATCTGTGCTGCTCAATTCATTTCTCAGTCATGCGCTGAATGACACATATAATGCATAATCACATCATTTACTCTCTGGTAATGAAATTGCCTTCAGCTGCGATAACACATTAGTTTCATCATTCACAACAACACACACATGACATACATACACATACACATACACATACATATGAACAAACATATTCGTGGAACGCCAGCAACGGGGAGTAAAGGCGTTTTTTTACAGCAAAGAATGTGAAAACGGGAGATTTATATATGATGAAAACGCTCCAGATTTGGGTGGTAGAGGGATAGCTGTGATATTCTTGTTTCTGTGATATTTGTTATCACGCAATTATACCGTAGATAACACGGTGTCACACCATGAGGGAAAACCGTATATACGATTGTACATCATGTTTTCCTAACACGGTACTTTTCCTAGACAGGCCTAGTACGGAATCGCTACCACAAACGCTATGCGAAATAAAGCTGCACAGAAATAGCTTAATTATCAGTGACGTAGAAAAGTTCGTTATCATATATGCCTTTGAGAACTGGACGCCTTTGAGAAATATTTTAGCGATCTGTTACAGGCGGCTGAAGGGGTTTGGCACGCACGCAGTGGTTGACGTTGCACCTTTTTTCAGGGCTGATACAAGAGTTTTCATCATGACCCTAACAGCCTCACATATTGGGAATGCTTATAGCAAGGACCCCCGGGTGTACCACTGTGACAAACATGACCTCGCTGAGGGCAAGGGTGGCAGTGTGAAGGCGGTATACTAAAGAATTATTATTGGAATAAATTACTTGTGTTTCATGCGATGGAGTCTCGTGTGATAGGCTAACACAATGCTCATAATACAACGCTGTACTAATGTGATGTAATGTTATGTAATGTTATGTTATGTAATGTTATGTAATGTAATGTAATGTAATGTTATGTTATGTAATGTTATGTAATGTAATGTAATGAAATGTAATATAATATGTAATGTAATGCAATGTAATATAATGTAATACAATGTAATGTAACGTGATGTACTGTAATGTAATGCGATGTAATCTAATTTTTTTAGTTTAAATTTTTTATTATTAAACATTACGCATGGTTTTATCCTCATTCTAGTCTTGCTCTTTTTTTCATAGAGCCGTCTTAGCCAGCACATTAGCAACAACTAATCATGTACATCTGTTAACCCGCCACATGTTTCTTTTACACGGGAGGGGATTTTACGGAACAGATTTTGGTCGGGTAAGCCTAGCAGATCCGGTCAATGCAGATCAGTTTTTGAATCGACGAAATTCACCGAGACATCTGAGGATACGAGGGAATCCCAATTTTCTTATGAAGTAATAGACACCAGGGGAATCCCGAGACGATCCGTAGAAGCAATGGCGTTAACGAAACGTAGGATAACGAACATAAACTATACTTGCCGAACAACGTAGGAGACTATATATACGATTGATACTAAGAACGTCACAATCACATTATGATGTCGACAGTGAAGCGGTGGACCCTATGCACATAGCCGATGCTACTGCAGAGGCT